TGGGGTCACTTTGTAAAAACACAAAAGTCCACTACTTCATGTAATTACAACTAGAACCCAAAATTTTCCACAAAAAATAAAACTTCATTAAAGGAGCAAAACAATTTGTCCTTTTAGTGATTTTGGACCTTTACGTAAAAACGTAAACTTTTGGGTCAAAATGCAAATACACAAAAGTATCAAAACTTTATATAATTGCATGAAAGCCCCACAAGGACCCTAATTGAGTAGGGTGGCCGGCCATTGAAGCAAAGTTTTAAAAAAAAATTTCAAAGTTTTGTAAGTGGGGTGTGTGTAATGGAATAAATCATTACACACCAAACCAACTATAATTTCTTTAATTTTTCAAAATAAATATCTAATATATTTAAACATAAGAAATATTTCAAAACAAAAACTTTATGAAATAAATCAAAACTTTGAATCAAAACACCAAACCTTTTGTTCTTGGCAAGAACATATCAAGAACAATGAAGAACTTTCATGAAAACCCATAAGAGCTTCATGAACATTCTTCACCCAAAAACATACCAAAACCACTCAAACTTAAGGGAAATAACATACAACCATACTAGGGTACATAGGGGTTCCAAAAGTCACTTTAAAACACTTCTAACAAGTTAAACAAGAACCCAAAATTCCACCCTTTGGATTTGGCCGAATTTCCCCAAAAACATGGCACCAAATTTTAGCTCCAAAATTCATGCTCATATGAACTACATCTACAACATTTGAGATGGCAAATTTTCTAACAAAATTTACATTCAAAGAAGCAAGAATAAAGCTTGTAACAATTACAACATTCAAATCACAAACTATGAACTACAAAACCCAAAAGGATTCACCAACTACTAGACTTAGGCTCTTGATACCACTTGAAGGAAAATTTGTGAAAAACATGTTCATTTAAGCAACATCAATAGCATGCAATTAACAATTAAAGGCGGAATCATGCTTGTATGCACTTAAAACAAAACATTTACCCATGAAATTCAAAGCCTAGTAGATAGGTGAATCAAGACTCAACTCAAAACAAAATGAGTTGAGAAATCAATACCTTTGTAGATTCCTTTTTGCATAAGCAAAGGCTAATCACCCAAAGAGAGGGCCTTCATTCCTTGCATCTTGGATCCATGGATTTGGATGGATGAAAAGGTTTCTCCAAGTTCCCAAAATTGAGAACCTCTAAGTCTCCACACCAAGGTATATTGAAGAAGAAATGAGTGACCTAGAGGAAGTAAGATTGCTAGCTATTCCCCTCTAGATTGGCCGAAATTTTAGAGAGAAAGGAGAGCTTATGTTCTCATCCTTTCCCCCAAAAATAACCCTTAGTAAATTTTAGGCTATAAAGTCCTTTATATAGTCCCTTCAAATAAGTGACCTAATGGACCAAAAACCCTATTCTTTTACACATGGCTAGCCTATAGGTTTATTGGGCTTTGAAGCCCTTTGTTTTATTCAAATTGTCATACAACTTGAGTTAATGGGCTTGACATTCAAATCCCATTGGGCCTTGCGGCCCAATACTAACCCGAGGTCTTTAACGAACTTATTCGTTTGATTAATTAACATATTAATTAATCCTAGCCTTAGATAAATAATTAAACCATTTAATTATTCTTACTCATCTCCGTTGAATCTTCAATCTCTACCTTACACGGTGTACGATCCATTAGGTTCCTTTTAGCGAGGCAGTGGACGATTCAAACTCTTTCAAATCGATTGTGAATTGAAACTTACTTTCAATTCTCCCGTTAGTGATAATACACTTTTAGGGCTTCCACAAACCATGAGTGACACCTAGCAGCATATCATGGTTACCCAAGCTAATCAGAAGAGGTGGAGAACCTATTCAGTTTAGGATTACAAATGCAATACGGTCTTTCTCTAATACAATACTCTTGACCACATTGTTTGGTTTGATAGTTTATTCATGTCTACTATCCAATGTGAATCTTGTACTTATATGATTACCTTGAATGTGATCTGGAACGCATTCCAACATCTCATTCATACTCTGGCCAGAGATTCTAAATCATATCATAGAGTATTCTCCCTCAAACAGTTTGAAGGTTAGAGATCCCTTGTTGCGCATTCACTTGCCTCCATGGCTAAGTGGCTTAACCCCAACGATGCCGTGGACACCCTGATAGAGTGACGTTGACATAATCAAAGATTAAGGACCTAACCACAAGACAACTGTGATGCCTCAGGTCAAAAGACTAATTTGCATTATCCCAACCATGAGTTCTCATGTGACATGAATATGAGAACTCTTCGTTGATCGTGTTCAGTGAACTCATTCTCTATTGAGCACCTACGTACTTGTCTTGATGTCACACACACCAATGACTCGAGACTAGTCACTCTCCCTGAGAGAAGACATAGCACGTACTGATCTTAACGGACTGTCAATGCCCAATTGACAATCCTATGATCAGGAACGTTTAGGATGTGTCAACGAAAGAATGGTCTCATGAATCTAACTTCTTTAGATCACATTCTTCCAATCACATATTCCTTGGACTTATCGTTTAAGCATATAACATTTATATTAGACGGCTCAAACAATAATCTTTGCCCTTTACATTTAAACTACATTAGTTTGAAATGAACTACATTAGTTTGAAATGTCCGTAAAGTATCATCATATGATTGGTTTTAAGGCACATTTCCACCATGACCACCATAAATTACAGAGAAATTAGTTGTATTTACCAAAAAAAAGAATTTACTTGTTCATGATGTGAGGAAGAGTGTTAGCCATATTGTGATACATTATGCTTGTAAGGGAGTTGTTTTTAGAGTCCATCGTGACTAGAGTTTGCGTTTTGGGGAGAGGTGTACAACATACATAATTAATCACGTATAATTGATACAAGTGTGAATGAGGTTCCTGTTTGAAGAAAGAAAAGTAAGTAGAAACATATCTTTACAATATTTCGACTGTTGCAGTAGTCAGGACTCAAGCGTGGATGAAAATAAGGACCCATGTGGTCCTACGACCACCTGAAGTCTGAAAAATATAATCATCCACGTGGTACAATTTGGAGGGGCGAAAACACACTAAAAGCAAGTTTTTCACTTGAAATATTCCGCTGTACAAACAAATCCAACATCTCAAAACACGTCAAGCTATAATAACACAACAAATCACTAAACCCTCACTTTATATCTTCAAATCATTGAATGATGTAGGAGCTTTTGTCCTTACGCAGCTCCATCACGATTGTTCCTACTTTACGAGTTCCAATTTGAACTTGGAAAAATAATTTAGCATTCACCATAGTCGACTTTGACATAGTTTTATTCAGGCCTCTGGTGTGCAACTGCCCCAAATATTATCTAGTAGGAAAATGCCTTGAAGATCATGTTTTTAGATAATATTTTGCAAACTGACAGTTGATGGTTGAATTCTTTCTCATTGATGATTTAAAAAATGAACCGAACCTCCAAACTATCATATCACATATATAGTTTACAAAATATGGCTCAAGTAGATGATCTCTTTATAAAGATGCCAATTGTTACGAAGAATTGAAGTAATGCAGAAAGGTCCTGATACCAGAGTTCAGAAGAATTGAAGTAATGCAGAAAAAAAAAAAAAAAAACCTAACAAAATAGGAGCAATTTTTATTTGTATAAAGATAACACAACTCATGGTGTGCCATCAATGCATTATAATAAGAGTGGTTGACATAGTTAATATGTCTCACTTAATCACAAGTTATAATTTGTGTGAATTAAAAACGTCAGGCGGATGTATACATAAAAAAATTGCTCAATAAGAAATGGAGAATCCTCGTATGTTTAAGTTTGTTTTTGTTAAGTTTTATTAGCGGGCCACACATGATATAAACTAACTATCAACTTTGCAGTATTTTCCTATACTTTGTTGCAAAAAAATTCAAATTTGAATCCATGAAAAGTCCATGAAACATACTGAGAAGGTGTCCTAATTAATCACATTTTATTCTTGTTTCATCATCTTTAGGTGCAGTGAATTGTAATCACATCGGCAAAGAGAATATACTCACTCAGCAAAAATAGGGCAAAGTACGTACAGAGAATTGAAACCTATATAGTCCTAGATTAATTGTAAATACATTGAAATACAAAGGTAGCGCCTCACAAAATCTATGTATTAAACTCTCTACAAAATCCTATGAACAAATCAACACATTTAAACTCTATAAAAAAGCCTAACTCAAAATCTTTTCCCACTCATTCTAATTCTCATAGTTGTAGTGAGATCATGGTTTGAAGCCATAGAGAAAATGAAACCACGATTTGAAGCCCTTCTGCATGAGATGGTTGACGGTGGGTCCCGCCAACTTTGTGTAATCTCAGACTTTTTCCACAGTTAGGACGTTGGACACGTGTCTATCATTTGACATTCCACCTGTCGTGTGGCATGTAATCTCAGACTTTGGTATACAAATGCCATTGTTGGATGATCAGATGGACGAGATCGCTTACGGGTTGGAGATGGCAGGGTGTCGGTTTGTATGGGGCGTTCGATCAAAGACGTGGAGACCGGATGAAGGGTGGGAGAGAAGGGTAGAAGGGAGAGGGTTGGCTGTACGTGATTGGGGGGACCAGCGGAGCATCCTAGCGCATCCGACGGTGGGGGTTTCCTGAGCCATTGTGGGTGGACCTCAGTGATGGAGAGTTTGTCAGCGGGGGTCCCACTACTGGCTTGGCCAATGGGAGCAGAGCAACCACTGAATGCCATGTACGTTGCAACGGGACTGAAGGCAGGGCCGGCTGATGGTTAAACCAGAGAAGATCACGACCGTAGATCGCTATGTGATTTGTGATGGAATGGAGGAGTTGATGGAAGGTGAGAAAGGGAGGAGGGCTAGGGTAAGGGCAGGAGTACAGGGGACCATGGTACGTCATGCCGTGGAGAAAGGTGGATCGTCGGATACGAAATTGGATGAATTGATCAAATGCCTCATTGCCAACCAAAAGGAAATAAAATTCTAAAACGGACAATCTGACCAAAATGTTCGTATTTTAAACTCAATTGTTAAAATGATTAGTTTTTCAATATATCGTCAATCCAACAGTAGATCCTCAAAATCACGTTAATAGTAGACGCATATAAGATAAAATTCTCTGAAATACCGACCGATAACTCACGTTAATAATTTGTTTTGTAGATTGACAATACTACCCTGAATCACCTTTTTCACTCCTCACAATTCAAAACAGCTGCAGCAGGGGCTGCAACGGTAGTTTCACGATCAAGAGGTAAAAAGTTTAATAAGCTCAGTCATCTTCTTCCTGATCAAATTCCTTAACCTTCACATCGGCATCTTCTCCGAACTGAATGCAGGTATCGATCTGAGCCAGGACATAGCTCATGCTGCCAAAAAGATGTGTGTGCAAAAAGAAACCCCAACATTATCGTAGATGATATCAATCGAACAGTCAATACATGCATGAAAAGACCGTAGAGGAAAACGTGCATGGATGGATAGATAGATACATAAAAATGTGCATAGAGAGAGTGTGCACCTGCTTGACTTCCTCAAGTCTAGCGGCAGAAAACTCACCATGCTATAATCATCGACCTGACAAACCAATCAACAAGATAGTCACTCCTTACTCCACTAATTTATCGTGGCCAGTAAGATTATGACTACTTTGTTTAACAAAACAACGCCTATAAGTACCACAAGTCGTAACCATCACCACAAAACTTGATGTTAGTCGGGTACAGGACATGGTACAACCCTAAACTATATATAACCTCTACTATAATCCACAGCCGAAGTCAAGTGAAGGTTATATGGCTTCTCAACTGACAGGATAACTGATACAGATAATACAACCAAGAGACCAAATCAAACCATACAGAACAACCATAAAGGCAAATCTCATCCAGAAGAAAGTACGCTTCGCCAAACAGCTATCTCCAATTCACAAACTCAAATGGATACAATTATATAAGAAACGTGCGCACAATAACTCACCAGTTCAATCAAAGATTTATTTAGCTTTGCAAACTGAGGAGCCATGCGTTGATTCAACTCTGATAATAAAACTTGAGGCTCCGGATACAAGAAGCTGGAACATTAAAGATACAAAAGAAAATTGAGCTTTTTAATAAGCTAAACAGATCAATAAGGATGGGTTAATAGAAGTAGTAGAGGATAGAGTAACTCACTCTTCAATATCCTTTTTTCTCGGTGCAAGGTCCATTTTGGAGAGGATATTAACATGTGGTAATTCAAGTTGAATCATGGCAGAAAGAGACGCCATGCACCCACTAATAAACTTAGTCACATCCGTAATGAACTGTTTCAATAGAAGAATAAATATATTTATTTGGGGTTATAAACAGTAATTCCAAGGAAGGACGAAAATATTTGTTGAGAAAAGATTACATGATAGAACTACAGAAACTTATCACAGACCTGAGAATCAAGCAAGTAGACGACACAGACTTTGAAATTTTTACGCTGCAGATGCTCCACGAAGTTCCGTAGCACAGGCACATGCGAGAAAAGTTCTATCTGGCCTATAACACAAGTGGAAGCCTAAGATTAGTATGTTTCACAGAAATTCCTCTAAACACCCACGCACAGAGAACTAGGAGCCTAGACATAATTTTGCTTTTACTAGTATGAGACTTGCTGTCAACTCCAGAAACATGTCACCGAGCACTACAGCTTTTTCCTTGTAATGTAACAATAATATCATTCATGAAAAAGTTAACCTTAATTTAGTCCACTTTTCCATCAATAGATCTCAACCACAATGCATGACAAAATATAATGACAACAAAACATGCCGATTAGTATGGATACCTGGGCAGTCAAAAACTAAGTAGTCATCATCCGTGTAATTGTCCAATTCCTCCGTGAGCCATTCATCCAGATTGTCTTCCAGGTGTCTAGAAATCAAGATTAAGGACATTCACCAAAGAAATTACAAGATTTAGAGAGAGGAGTACAGCTAGAAGTGGTACAAAATGATTCGCTGCTGTTATCACACGCAAAGACTCCATGCGGTGCCCTTCAAAAGAATAGCAATCATTCCAAGTAAAAGAACGAAAAGAACATAAGAAAATTCGAGAACAATTTGGAAAAAGAATACTCCATGCAGTATAAAAGTCCACCATTGGGACCCAAACCAAGTTCCTCCATAACATCCTCCAAGGAAACAAGTTCCCTAATATCTGCAGGAGAGAAAAGAACAGAGAACAAGTTAAGTGCGGTTCATGAAACCAAACAAGCGAGCAACTAAATGAATTAACTACTTACCCATGGCCACAGGATAGTCAAAATTTTCTGCAGCAGGATCCAAATTAACAATATTGATACTCCTCCCAATAGCCGTACAGTGTTCGTGCAAACTAGAGCAATAAGTCGACTGTTTCCAATAAGTAAACAAACTTATCAAAACTTGCAATGGGTATATAAAAAACATCAAAATAATGCAGTCATAGCGATCCTGACGTGATTATAAGGTATTCCTCTTTCAAACACTGTTAGGGCAAATTAGAGCAATAAGTTGACAGGTTACAAGAAGTCAACAAACTCATCAAAACTAGTATCGGGCACACCAAAACGTCAAGAAATGCTAATCATAGTAATTGCCCATATGATTATGAAGCATCCCACGTACAAACAATTTTGCCGCAAATTACATCAATAAGCCGATAAGTTCCGAAAAGCAAAGCAAACTCATCAAAACTACAAAAGGGTACATAATAACATAAAAAATACAAACATAATAATACCCATGAGCTTATGAATCCCACATTCAAACAGTTGGTGCAAATTACAGCAAAAAATCGAAAGTCAAGCAAACAAACCAATCAAAACTTGTAATGGGTACACAAAAACATCAAAAAAATATTAACTTTTACTGATTTCCCATATGATTGTGCTGCAAGTGAGTGAGTGTTACAGTAAATTTTGGGTAGTGAAATTCACCTTGCCGCTGCCGGCAGGGCCAATAACCAGCTGCGCGTAACCCATTTCAAAAATCTGGGTTTTCTTGCTAGGGCTGCGAATTCAGAGAAGAAGATAGAGAGATATGAGAATAACGTATTAAAAAAAAACCCCTAATTTAAGCTTTACCTGCCTCAATGATAGAGAGGGGGTTAGGGTTTATGATATTTTATGACGAGATGAACACTGAAAGGAGGCTCCTTTTCTTTTCGCTTCGTTTTTCTTCATCTTTTGCCGCTACATTTTCTTTTGGCTAAATTGCAATACTAGTCCCTGCAGTTCACTTGTACTTTCACTTTCGTCTTCGTGGTTTTTTTTCTTGCATTTTGATCCTTTACTGTACTTTCTTTTGTTACAAACGATTCTGTTGAACTGAATAAACTCAAATACAAGTGATGCTGTGGAAGAGGCATTTTGAATTACAACAGGAGGACCCTCGTTCCACATTATCGCACTATTAACTGCAAGTGCGTATTTAGCTAGGCGACGGGCAACCACATTACAAACTTGAAGGAAAAAGGATGGTTTTGTGCAACGTTGACTCCAAATTTTGAGACTTACAATCCTCGAACAAAATATCAGAAATAAAATTTGGGGCTCTTTCAAATTTTCAAGACATTTAGAGCATAACAGGATCACCTATGCAATAACAAGGAAAGAAAAATATTCATTCACGAATTATATCGAACTCAAATACGATCTCAAAATTTTGAATCTTGACATCTGTGGGAGTTGGTAAAAATGGGCATACGGAACCCACGTACATAATCAACAAACTCAATCAAGGGGTTGGCCGTCGTAACCTACGAAGATAACACGGCACAACCAAGTTGCCCTTTTTGCATCTAAAGTAGCATATCCGTACATTTTATAAAAACGGCACGTACCAAGTTTACTCTTAGGCTATCTTCTTAACTTGTTTCACCCTTTCGAAATCTGGGGCGTGGAAATTCTTTTCCACCTCCCAAGCTAATTGAGACATGCAGTTAAACATTGACTTTGCACTCTTCTCATCCGTCACCTCCCGGGAGAAGGGAATGCGAACCTCAAATATACCTTCCTGAGGAGACCAAAGATGCAGGTCAAAGCCTAACCGATCAACCCAAACCAGTTTTGCTTCAGAAACCTGCACAAGGAAGCTACCATGACCATATTGCAACAGAAAAACACAATATAAAGCAGATTCACTGATAAAGTGATGTATAAAGTCCTCAAGGAATGTCAATAAGGATTCAATAATTCAGGGTAAAATGCATTTAAGATTCTAGTAGAATGATTATTTGGTTTATCGTAACCATGTAAATAAAAATGAAAGGTGCTATAACTTTGCAGACGGGTCCATACAGTTGAAAGCATCCAAATTATGGTTCGCGTGATTTAAAAGTAACATGGCAGTTTAGTTGGGAATGCCATTTGGTCTAGGATGATTTATTTCATCAAATAGCACGAACCCCCAACTTGAAATCTCAGTCATTGGTTGCTTAGTTTCTCAATTTCATTTTTGGTGAACAAAGACATTTATTGGTCAAATGTAGTTTTTCCCTTGCAACTATCATTGCTGCTCTCTAGCTTAAGTTAAGAATTTTGTATGTAATTCAGTGTTTCTGGTACCAACTTAGCAAGCTGTCAATATGCAATAGACAACACAACTATCAATCACAAAAAGTGAGTTGGCACAAACCTGGAAGTTCAAATCAGCATATATGTTGCAAAAACGATTAATATCTTCAATGTTGTTGGTGTTTATCTCATTCACTAGCTTTACCGCAAAATCCCTAAGAGGATCAGGTTGTGCATTTTATAATCTGAAGATGTAACCCACATACCAACCTGTGAGAGTATCAGAAAAGTTAGAAAACAGATCTGCTTTTGAATAACTCCTCCATCTCAAATATGTGCCAACTTAAGAGCCTATGGGCAAAACTTGGAAGCATTAGCCAATGCCAGTCTTCCCAAACTACCAGTATAGAAAATAACTATTGCTTACGACTACTATGCCCAGCACAGGGGCAAATAAAATACCATAATACCTCTTTAAAGTCCTCCAACTGAAGTACCCGTTCCACAGAAACAACATATATAAGATCTTCATCAACTTCTTCTCCAAACCTCTTTTTCCATACTGAATGAAGGTACTGAAAGAAACGGCATTGAAATCCAGATGAAATACTGACTAAAATGATATAACATCCTACCTCATAAATAGATACTAGCAGAAACTAAAACAGATCAAAAACTAATGCTTTTATGAGCTTCAAATGGATCACAAGGTTCTTCATTTTTCTTTTAAGAATGAATCAAATCAAAAGGCCACTACACATAACACCTACATGGGTCAGTGTATGCTTCTGTCGGAGAACTGAGTCCAGTAAATAAATCCAACCACATATGCTGGAACTCATGTCTGTACAAAAACTGGATTCAAATCCAAGTTCTAAGAGCATCTCCAATGGGAATCCCTACTTAGGGAAATCCACCACAACCTTTGAGGACTCATTTATGAGCTTTAGAGGAATATTCAAGTCCCTAAAAGAATATTATCTACAAAGGAAATTCCTTATACAATAATCCCTAAATATAGGGACTAAAATATTAAAAAATTATTATTCATTTCATTGAAACATTGTAACCATTGATAAAAATAAAAAACTATCTCTACCATTGATTTTTCAAGAATTAAAAAAAAAAAAAAAAAAAAAAAAGGCAAATGAGAAGGTTGCCCCACTTGGGTGGGTTCAAAAAACAAGGAAAAAAAACATAAAGAGAAGCACCTTTCCAACTCAAAATTAATATGGAGTTCACTATTTGAGTCCCTATATGTAGTCCCCATATTTGAGAATTCTTTTAAAGTATCCAGCGAGTCCCTATATATTGAGATACTTTGAGGACTTCAATTCCGGCCCATTGGAAGTCATTTGTCCCTATATTTAGGGACTATACAATTGTAGGGACTCCATTGGAGATGTTCTAAGATCACAGCCCAAACCCAACCCAATCCAATTGTCAAGCATATAACATTGTAAACAATTATTCAATCACAAATGTTACGCAAGCCAAACATTGAAGTGATAGCTCCAACATCTACTTGACAAAAGCTGTGGCAGTCTGCCTTAACGATCCAGTATTTTATCTTACTGCAATCAATGGAATCAGAAATGGACTAGTTACAGTTAGTTGAAGACAATGCAAGTCTGACATACACGAAACATTAACTGTGTTACTTTTCTAATTCTGCATTCTTCTTAGTGAATTCTATCTTTAGTCCGCATAAATCAGCAACAATTATGTTTTCAAGATGCTTCCTTACAACTCAAGCAACACGCCGCATTCTAACACACATATGGTAAAGCCATAGGTAACAAACCACTTCATAGTGAAGCTTGTTCCAGATGAGCAAAAACTATTTACCTTCAACATTGCCCTATTTTCTGGTTTGTCAATGCTGCCTAAAATCGTGCACTGAGGTGTCCGCAGCCCGCTTTGCTCCAACTGTGCACCAAATAAAACAACACCACCACCTTGAAAACCTCAAGAATCACCTTAAACTTCATAATCAATCATCCAAATTAAAAAAAAGTAGACCCTTTTAAAGCACCTGGACATGGAAGCTAGACCTCCTGTCAATAGAAAACTGCCGATTAGAGGCATTCAAGCACAACACCGGAGTCCCTTCCAGGTCGACCGCGAACCGAACGCCAATCCCCAAAGGCCAACCCTCTTGAGTCAGAGTAGAAAGCGTGCCCACAGACACCAACTCCATAATTGTCCTGGAAACCTCAGCTGGAACCGGCTTGTGAGTCTTCGTTTCCAACTGGGTCGGCTCCGAAACCGCCGAAAGCGAGCATCTTAGGGCTCTGAATCTAGTTCTGCGAAATGGGTTCTGTTTTATGGGAGTGAAAGATAGGATTTTGGGCGTGGGTTTTGAGGGAGGAAGTGGAAGGGACAAATGGGTTGTGAGAGATTGAGTTTGGAGAAGCATTGGAGGGTAAATTGGGGGTTTAGGGTTTGTTGATTCAATTGAGTTTTTTATTTGAGAGGAGTGGAGTGAAATGGTGTGGAAATGTTTTGGCAGTCAATGGGATGGAGAGGGCTGCAGACTTTGAAGAAAAGGAAAGTGACAGTTTGGACATACAGTTGGGTTGGAAGTGGTGGTGATGGAGGGATTTTTCGGTGTACCCGGCACACCAAAAAAATTTGGTGTACCCTCACTCATAATGGTGAGGGTGCACCAAAAAAATTTGGTGCACCCTCACTTTTTGTACATCAAAAAAATTCTAATGAGTGAGGGTACACCAAAAAAATTTGGTGTACCCGGTACACCTAAAAATTTTCCGTGGTGATGATGATGAGGATGAGGATGATGATGATAAATTGGGAAATGGGATCAGAAAAATGTGAGAAAATGAGGGCAAAATCAAGTGTAATTTTACACAATAGGGCCTAAAGTGTTGAAAACATTGGCATTGTTATGAATTCCTACACATATATTTTTTAATGCTCACAAATGTGGTATAGATTTTGGAAACAAAAAGATTGTATTTTCAAAGTTATGTGATGTAAATTTCAAAATATAATAATACAAGTTGCTCTATAAATAGAGTACTCGACTGCAATCAAAACACAGAGTAAAAAAAGGAAATATCAATAACATCATCATCTTTTCCTACCACCTTTATTTGTCATCCTCTTGTGTTATAGTTACAATATAATATTTTACACCTACTTCGTTTATGTCACAAATAAAAGTTATCTCTCTAACTTTGACATATTTATAACATAAAACTGTTTTTGCTTTTGCTTGTTCACCACTTGGGATAGTGATAACTACATTTTGTGCTTTTAGGTTTTTCAAAAAGTAACGCAAAGGTAACACAAAATTACGAAAGTACTATTTAATTGGATGTGTTTGTAATGAAATAGGTCACTAAAGTGATTGACTGGTGGTGAAGCATAAACTAAGTATTAATTTTTAAATTTGTTCCCCACTATTTGGTGTGTAAAATTATATTAAATACGTCATAAGCTATTCAAATTATCAGTTATTTTTCACATTAGCAAACGTTTAGTGTCTCACATTACTTTATTTTGTTAACTTCATAACAATTTTTTAACTTCTAATCGATAGTATCGTAAACTAACAATACTGAAGATAAAATACTGACGACACATCAAATAACCTCTAATTAAAAAGGGAGTAAAGCGGTTCTGTTTCAAGAGCATAGTAACGCGGTTCTATTTCAAAAGCAGGGCTAACATGATATTTAAGATATAATTATGGGGCATTTTGAAAGGAGTAAACTGTCATTTGACCTCTTGAACTATTACTCTGGTTGAAATTGATCCATAAACTATTTTTTTGGTAAATTAACCCCTAAACTATTTGAAATCAGCCAATTGACCCCTTGTCGGTAAATTCCATCCACTATTTCTTCAAATTCAAAGGAAAACTAGTATTTGCTTCATCAATTCTTACTTGTTAACTATAACCACCATTGAAATTATGACATATGAAAACAAAAAAATGTGATGCCCCATTATGTAAATGTTTGGTTTTTTTTTTTTAATTTTCTTCTCATGATGCTATGTGTTTTTGAATTATTATATATTCACATATCAAAATTTTATTGGTGGTTATAGTTGACAAGTAATAATTGATGATGGCATGATTAATTTGCCCTTGAATTTGACGGAATTGATTTCACAATCTAACAACAAGGGATTAATTGATTGATTTTAAACACTTATAATGTTAATTTACCAAAAACTATAATTTAGAGAATCAATTTCATCTGAAATGATAGTCTAGGGAGTCGGACAACAATTCACCCTTTTGAAAGATGAGTAAAAAAATGAAGTAAGGTAAAACCTTTTCCATTATTTTGCTTTCCCCTCCAAAACTACGACTTTTCCACTTTAACGAGAAGCAAATGGCGGCAGCAACCTTCAACAGTCCCGTTCGTCCCTTCGCTTCACCCATTTCCCGCCAAATCAACTTCCCTCGCCAACGGTCTCCGCTTCTTCGATATAATTCCATCAAAGGTGAGTTCTTTCTTCACTCCTATCTAAACTCCACAACTCAATTTCCCAAAAAATTTCAAAAATTGAAAGCTTTTTTCCTCGTGTTTGGTTGCGGAGATACGTTAACCCAGTAAGTGGATAACCCAGAACTTCAATGAAATGCTAACAACCAGCTTCTTGTTCGGTTTAGCTAAAGTTTCAGTCTTTCGGTTCCAGTACGTCCGACGTAACTGCAAAAAATGAAGATCAAATTTTCAATTTTCTTTTGTTTTCTCGCATTTTCTCGGCAACCGAACAGCCATGGTATTTGTGTGTTGTAACTGCAAATTATGCTCGTTTGGTTTTGCCTTGTTGGTTCTAATGGTGCAAGAATTGTATGTACATGTATGGATAAGTGATTCTTGTGTTTAATTGGGTGTGTAGGTTTTCGATTATACAGAAATAGGTCTTTGCATTGTGGTGTGGTTTGTGCTGTCAATGGAGGCGGGAGAGGGTACGTATCTTCGTGGGACGAGAAGCCATATGAATATCTTCCAAGTGGGAAAAAAGCTTACTTGGATGAGCAAGATGTTGTCACGTTTCTTGATCCTCCTAAGGAGTTGATTCCTTTGGACTCGGCTTCCTACAATCCTGCTGCATATCTTTGGTTAGTATCGAATTGTTATGACCCTTTCATTCCGAAACTTTGTTTGAGTTATTTTCTCATTCAGTTGATTGACTTATTTTTTTTTTTTATGTAATGTCAGTGCTAATTTTAGTAATTTCAAGTTATTCCCTTTGGTTGTGAAATTGCCGAGAAAAAGTACAAGTGTTGTATATATAACACACATGTATAGGGAGTGTCACTTTTGCTTGCATAAGATCAACGCAGGATGATTATGGACGCCATTGATCAATTTGACTTCATCATACAGTTAAACAATTAACAGCATGCCATTAAAACTTGCACATATTTCCCTTGTCTGCATACGTGATATAGTACTATCCTGCATATGTGATATACTACTATCTTGTAAAATGAAAACAATTTAAATGAGGAACTAAGTAAGATTAGGTTAGTTTGACTGAAGTTTTTATTTTCCTTGAGTCTACAGAATAGGCTGTGGTTCATTTGACTAGGATATGAAATAACATCTATTTCCCTTTAACGGCATGAATCCTCAGATAAGAACGTTTATTTAGTAGTGGTAACTATAATGTATAACTATTGGTAACATTAACTGTCTTTAAAGTTTTTGCAGATTGTGAGTAATTACTAATAAGAAAGTCCATTTTGTTACATTTTCTATCGTGTTAGTCGGACAGTTTGTACATTTACTAGAGTTATGGTTGAGCTGTGTGTAGGCTTGTTATGCATAGATTTTTTATTTGGTGCGAAAATCATGCAAGTGGATTCAGTTTGAAGGCTGAAGGCTGTTGGCCCTATGTCTGTGAAAGTTTGAAACATAGAACCTGAAGAGAAAGCCCCAGAGTCAAAGAATACTAGTCATCACTTGGATCCTAGCCAGCAAGTCAATAGAGTCAACATTAGTCAAATAAGTTGGGATTGTTAAAACTACTATCAGTATAGTTTTGATTAGTAAGATTCTGTTTTGATTAGCCAAAGTTTTTCAGCTCATTATATAAGCTCAATTGTAAGTTAATTTCATTCATCGGATGAGAAAGATACGAAATTTTTCATGGCTTCAGTGCCCCTAGCCCGCCGCAGATTTTTTGATATATATTCTTTTTAAAAGGGTCGTGTTTAGGTTGGTTTATCAATTTTGAATTTGACTAGTAACTGGTTGAGTGGTTAGTGAACATCATTTGTCCCTGATTCTAATTGGTAGATAGTAGATATTATTTCCATTTGGATTTCTTAATCTATTATTACTGTTCAAAAATGTTTGTCTGGTGTTGTTAGGAAAAAAATTGATGATATTCCTCCAGAAAGGCGTTATCGACTTCTGCGCTTGCTAGAACCAAGGTAATGATATTCATTAAATATCAGCTTACTTTAGTAGCCTACTAAGTTATGTAGAAAATTAGAATCAGAGCACTTGATGCATGGATATTTTGCATAGCATTTCTCTCTATGATTTTAATAAGGTGGAATTTAGATTTTAGAGTCACTGATGTTTGGGCACTTGTAATGCAGGCTCGTATCAAGAGCTTGGGAGATAGCTGGCACACGATACGGCGATCCCAACTTAGCCAAGAGAAGTGCGTCTACATTGTTGTCTAATGATGATGGTGTAACATCTCTTGAATATTATAATTGCCGAACAAGTGGAGGTAGGTCATGTAAATCAAGCCCTTTTATACTGGAAGTTCTAATGTCCCCATTAGTGCTGTTCAAAAATTACTGTAATTCGTTCGATGGAGTAGTTTATTAGTTTACTCTTTATCAAACTAAAGATGTTAAAAACATGAATCTTCTAATTGTATGACATTAAAAATCCACCTGCTGATTAAGATGAGCAAATAGCCCATTTCTGGTCACATTTGAATGATTATTTGGCATTTCTCAAACTTCTAATTGCGTATTTTACCTGTTCATTATGTTACCTTGTAAAAAGTTTGACACTGATCTCTTTAATAGGACCAATGCCCATTTCTTGGATAAACTCTTTCCAGAAGGTAGTTCCTCTACTCCTATTGGTTTTTGCTTTCTTCTATCTCTTTGTATATGCATGAATTGTTGGGACTGCAAAATTGGATGTTCTGCAAATCTCAGGCAATATTTTCTAGCACAGACGGGAACATTTACGGACGATTTATTGGTACTTTCTTTACCCTCTATGATTTTATTATTGAATTTATTATATGTTATTATACATCTATCAAATTGAAAGTTAACATTAAATTGAAGTTTATGTTGGGGACAGTCCCTTGCTTCTTATCTTAATAGTCATGGGGGTTGGCCCATTTACAGTTCAACTATTAAGGCCGACATTAAAGTTGAGTGGGTATTGTTATATGTGCAAATAAAGAAGGGTTTCAATTAATTGACTTTTCAAGTCATACGTATAAAGCTAGGATAAATTCAAATTTATTTTGTTTAATGCCTCACTCCCATGTTTCATTAGTTAAGACAAGTGATGACTGACAGACCTTGCCTTAATATTATTTGGTTACTAATTTGGATGTGTATTAGTCCGTTAATGTATAGTTCGTTTGTGTAGCATTATGGGCATAACTGAGATCTGTAGTGTGGGAATTAAGCACATGAAGTGTGCGTATTGACAACCTTTTCCATGTCACTGATAATCTTTTTAAATGCGATACAATGGCATGTCCATAAAAGGTGACTGGGCAAATTGTCATGTAATTCATCAGTCTGGATATTGAATATGCAGTTATCTAGTGCAAAAATCATGTTAATATTTTCTCTAATTCTTTGGTTTGAATGTTTGAGTGATTTTCCAATGTTAACGGGGAACTATTTCAGTGGAACGAGAGGAGTTGAAAGAATGAGTTACGAACTTACAAACATCTAGCAAACACTTTAGGATAGAACAGAAACTGTTATGACTGGATGTGGATGAGGAGTTCTAGAGTGGTGAGGTTAAAGTTACAGAGAGGAACAAGTTGAGAAGCTACTTCTTCAAAGTATGGGTTGTGGCTTTTGGATAGTAAATCTCTCAGGGAAGCTGCCCAATTCAAGTATAAAGATAATTTCATTAGGAACTAGAGGAAACTCCTACCAAGTGTGGATGGAGGGCTAGGAGTCGTTAAGGAAGATTATCACACGACAAAGGGGAAATCTCAATGTATAACTAAAGACGCAAGAACTGTCCTGCATCCTCTGTGATGGGAGAAGTGGAGAACTTCGCAACCTGGGAGATTTGGAGAGAAGTAGAGAATGGTCCAACAACAGATGGGCTGATGTAACAGAAACATTATAGATTTGATTAGGAGGCATCGCAGAGGGAGTGAATTGCTCTGATAGGTTAAAGTTTGGTAAATTGTGTAAGGCAGTGGTGTTAAACACGATTCTTGATGTTTCTGTAGTGTCCCAACATGAGTTTATTATGTATGGTTTACGTTACGTCTACTCTGTCATTGCATGGTTTGCAATTCCAAAACTAAATGTTGATTTGCAACTACTTATTAAGTTTTTTTTATATAACTCTGTACAATTATCGTAATGAATCAGGTGGATCATTTTTAACCGGACTTGCAAACTCCTTTAGTCCATTGTACTTTGTGGTGAGACAGCTTAAGGAAGTAATGCCAACTGAACAACCTTGTGATCTAGCATATGAGTTTGGGGATGGACTGTTTGACCTTCAAGAATACCCAGAAGGTTTTCCAAGACCAGGTATATATTTTCCTTAAATCCAATGCAATGCGGTATTATTAGAACAGTTTGTTCGGAATTTAATTGTTTCATGGTAATTGCTCCCATTTTTCCCCCATGGAAAAGCTAAGAAATACGAGAGAGAAAAACAAATGTGAAGAGATGTTTTGATCTAATAAGTTAGACAGAGAGGCCCTAAGACGGAGGAGCTCTATGCATGTACAATTATACACATGTGGTGCATACAACATATTGTGTGTACCTGACCATTCTAACCTTTTCTTTTTCGAATAGACTAACCATTCTTACCGATAAGTTGAATATATTATAAGGTACAATATTTATGATTTCGGTTCCCATCACATTCCCACTTCCAGTTCTTGTATCACTCTACCTACTTTTAGCTAGTACCAAAACTGCCTTGTCATAGCAACTGCCAGTGAGCTGTGTTTTCCATTAAGGGGATTAGGTGTGGTACGGTTGTTTGCCATTAAGTTGCCTGCTTGCTCAAGCCTAGGAGTAGGGCCGTTAATCACCCAAGCTCGAGCGTATTTTCCACATGAGAAGTTTGTTTTGGGTTTGTAATATCCGTATTACATCCATTAATAACAGTAGCTAAACTATATATAACTGTATCTAATTTTGCAATGTTTTTATTTTGCTTTTTCAGTCAAACATCCATATCCTTTCAACGATCAGGTGGTTGTGTACGTTCGCCATCTGGGGCCAGGCGTTTCAGTTGGGCAAGCATGGCAGGAAGGAAGGAAATTACAACAGGTGCCACAAAAGTTATGCTCCGATATTTTGATGGTGAAAGATTATTCTGCTCGTAGAGAAAATCAGTAACTGTTCTCGTGAAGTTAAGAGAAGGGAGAAAGGTTATGCTGTAATCAATTATACCTCGGTAGCTCATGTTGTAAGGCGTTGAGAAAACAAGCACAGAAAGGACAGAGGGTAGGGATCAATATAAAGATCAGTTCCTGTTAGTCAAAGCCAACGGTAAGTGATTCACATTGATTTGAATTTACAAGCAGAGTTTCTAAAGCCTTTGTTTTCGCACGTCACTGCATTTATTTTCGATGAATTCAGGTATACGACACCCTTCTGTTGCTCCAACATAAAATGATTCAAGGATTGAATCAAGGCAAATGTTACTTTCAAAGTTAAAAATGGTTGATGCTGGCTGGAAATAGGTGTGATTATATGAAAATTTTACAATGTTGCGGCATATCCTGTACACCGGGATTGTTGGCTGTTAGATCTCGGTCACTGGTCTTTGACGAAGTATCTAACAACCAAAAGCACCAGTGTATAGAATGCCTCGGAGCATACTAGAAAATCCCGTGATTGTACGTATAAATGTAGTAGGGTTGGGCAGGACATTCGAAAGACTGGTAGAGGACATGCAGCACATGAAAACTTTCTACTAAAATGAATACAACACCAACTTCGAGGAATGATCGATGTCATATGGTCTAATTGCAAAGAAGGTTTTAAAGAACATAAGAGCTACAATAATGGACTTTCATTTACCAAAGGATGATGGCTCGAGTTGTAAATTCCTTGTAGCACGTGTAGCTAAGAAGCATGTGATTAATAATCACGTGAGAGCAATAAGGTATGTGAAAAATGCACACTAAACGGAAGGACGAGCGGCACTAACTAGTAACTCAGTGTACACCGAAACTCACATGTTACATTGATTTGCACCTAAGAATTAGAAAAACTTAACTTATGTGCAACTCAACATATAATTAAACTTGCTCCATTGAATTACAGGTAAGTTTCTCTCGTCTTTTCATGCGCTATGTTGCATGAAAGTTCTTTTACCTCACATATATATTTGTCTTTGTAAAGAGTTTGTAATTCGGCTGGTAAGAACATTCACTGTTTAACCTAAACTCCCAAGTTCGAAAATCTCTTCTTCATTAAAATCGCTTGTATATGAAAACCATATAATTCGTTTTTTCTTCACAAAAAACAAAACATGTATTGCAATAATTTGTATTGGAATCATGTGTGTTGGTGTGTTGTGAAAGTATGCAAATGGCCGAATGGGCTGTCAACTTCTCTCGATCGACATGCACATATGGAGTAACTCGGCAAGAAACATGGCGCGTGACAGTAGGCCAGAATCTTCCAAAACCAGTAGGCCTCATCTGGTTTTATCCTTCATCTATTTATCGATGCTACAAGACACTCTTCTTTAATGGCTCCATGTGTTTGATTCTGTATTTCTGTATTATTTATTTAATTAATTTGTTCACATAAAATTATTTATTTAAACTCGTTTGCTAACTGTTTCAGTTTTTATTATTTTGGAATTATTTTCAGTTTTCAAGAAAAGAAAAATTGAAAGCTAAATTTTGAAAAGGATGTGATTTTCACACTTTTTTTTTTTTGAACAAATGATATTTACACGAAGGGGTTCGAGGCGTGAGTTAAGCCTCAAAATAAGCTAGCAATAATATGGTTCAAATTCTTCTTTAGCGAAAATCGGACCTAAGCCTTTCACTTACAAGTGAAGAGGAATATTATACCGTACTACTAAGTGACATTCACACGCATTTTTTAGCTTCTCACACATCCCTCTTTATTTATAGTTATTGGATTGAATAAATTAAATGCAACAGTCATGATTAAACATGGGTGTGTAAAAGATTAAAAATGATATGTGAAAATTACTTCTTTTTTGAAACCTCGGAAAAAATGAGTTTTCGTTTTTTATTTTCAGTTTAAAATAAAAGTAAAAACTAAATAGTTATCAAATCATCAGTTTGTCACATTTTGTGGAAACTTTATAATTTTCTTCAATGTATTATTGACTAGAGTAAAACGGACCCATTATTCTGCAACTTACAAAGAATGAATCGAATCGAAATCCTCATTTTGTTATTTAGCTTGTTTTGCAGGTCCCCCAGCTTTGTCTCCACACTATAAATTGGAAGGGAAGCTGACCATGTCCCCCTCGTAATGGGGAGTGCATGCTACAATGGACGGCTAAGATCAATCTAGACGCATGTGCGACTAGTGCTAGTATTTTCCCGTCTTATTGCTTTTGACGATTTCGATCTCGAACAATCATAGCACAAGGATTACAAAAAAAAAGTGACATTTTTACTTCGGTAATAGGTAGTAAAGTTTATGGTTTGTGAGGATGAAAGGAAGAAGTAGCTTCACATCTTGTTGTATTCAAAAGAAGAAAAAGAATGTCAATGGAGGAAGGCAAGGAAATCCAAAGCTTTTTTTTGACATAAGGGAAACAAAAAGTTTGTTTCAACATGAATAGAGGGAAGTTTTAAGTCTTAGGGTTACCCCAATTCTTAAGTGTCGAGGAAAGTTCAAGGTTCAGGGGATGAATAGAGGAAAGTTTTAAGTCTTCGGGTTACCCCAGTTCTCAAGTGGCGAGGAAAGTTTAAGGTTCTGGATTCAATTCTCTCTAATGCAACAAAAAATTGACTGTTCTTGCAAATTCATTTCCAACTCTTTCTTTAATTAAGCAATAGAATTAGAGCCCTCCATTTCCTTATAATCTTCCACACAGCATATAAAAGAATCAAAAGATAAGCATGACACCCCATCAACCTACTTATATATGCATTTATTTGGGGATCTTTTGATGCTTTACTTTAGGATCTCCTTGCCTCTCATCTTCATGTAACACATAATCCTTGGGTGGTTGTAACCCCATAATCTATTTATGATGGGAAGGGTATTTTGGTCATTTTAGCATAACAAAACATCAGTCAGACTTGGGCAAACAAATGCAAAAGTTGAATTTAAAGTGAAAATTTTCTACTACGCTCCGTTGTATCTTTTATACATGAATTATATATCATTAGATCTGCAATTAAAAATCTAACGGTGAAAATTTATCTGGACAGACTTGGGCAAACAAATGCAAAAGTTGAATTCAAAGTGAAAATTTTCTACTACGCTCCGTTGTATCTTTTATACATGAATTATATATCATTAGATCTGCAATTAAAAATCTAACGGTGAAAATTTATCTGGACAGACTTGGGCAAACAAATGCAAAAGTTGAATTCAAAGTGAAAATTTTCTACTACGCTCCGTTGTATCTTTTATACATGAATTATATATCATTAGATCTGCAATTAAAAATCTAACAGTGAAAATTTATCTGCAAAAAGTCCAGATATGTTGTATACACCAAAGCATATTAATATTTCGCTTCAAAAGTGATCAAATATAAATCACAAGAAAATGAATGCATTGGAAGTGGGTGATGAGAGGTCCACACGGCTTCCATGAGGTAGGGCTTCTTTTTCTTTGTGCATCTACTACCACCATCATTCGTCCCTTTATCGCAACAAGGATTGGCACACATCCACAACCAGAAACCCTTTATTAGTACTAGTGGCAAGATAATTAAGACAGATCTGTGGGGTTCAATGTCCATAAGCAGGGCATACTTAAAGGCACCCCCGTTGCCTGCCGACACTATTTTTTGCTCGCCCTTTTTTCCCAAGAGACAAACTCCTTTTACAAATGGACAAATGCAATAGAGTCTGGTTGCACCAGAGTTCGATTTTCCTTCCTCTTAAATTACAATAGTTTAAAATATCGCTTTTTCGGGAAAAATTTGAGAGAGAGAGAGAGAGAGAGAGAGAGAATGCGGTATCAATTCAACTAATGCAATATACAGAGTTATACATGTGTAAAATCTGAAAGTTCAAACAATTAACACACCTATCTGCCTTCTCTAAGAACACTCCACACAGAAGCAGCAATACATAGGATAAAACTGTGAAAGGCCTACATTCTTATACGTAAATAAAACTCACCGATAATTTTCGTATGTCACAAATAAACCAAGAAAAAAAATTCACAAGGACAAAAAAATAGCTAGAAAAGAATCGATATGGGCAATTTTAATGAGAAGGAGCTATTTTGCATCTACCTGTTCCAGTCTTAGGACACCAAGCATTCTCTTATTCACCCTTTATTTTTAACTTTTACCATGATTTTTTTTACCTCAAATCTCTAGCTCATCTGCTCACCAATTAGGTCAAGACCCACCAGTAAAAATGACACACCTTGGAATAGAAGGAAGTAAAAGTGTACTCCTTGTGCTGATAGGAGGCTCCTAAGTGCAGCAGTAAGCAGTAAGAAAGCCAGAGCTAGCTCTTTCTTGTATATCTTGTTCAGTTTCTTCACAGGAGGAGGTTTCGGAGTGGCTTCTTGATGTTCTTTTAATTTGTTGAGCTCCGAGAGGCCACTATCTGATGTTCCTCGGTAGAGTTGTGGGTGAATCATCGCCTTTGTTTCCCTCTCCTCTAATTCTAGCAGGTCCGGCTCTGATGACCGACCTGCCTTCTTGGTGACAACCCATTCGTACGAGCTCCCCAACTTGAACAAACCGGAAACCATAGCGTTGAATTTGGTCACGGACATTGTGTTTTCAAACAGGAGGTAAGGGACAATGAAGGGGAAAGATCTAAGGGAAGGAAGAATGTTCATGAATGACATAAATACGGGCACGTAGCAGATAACCCACATGGATAGCTCGGCTTCGGGGACAAACATTGTCAGAGGAAGAATTATGCAGAACAATGTGAAAGAATAAAATGGGAGAATTAACTTCCTAAGAAGAAAGAATAGTAGTATCAAGTTTGCTTTCTTCCAGAACTTCATCTGCAATATGGCATTTTGTAGAGTTATTCTCAGAACGGTCTGATTCAGGGCAATACATTGATCAAAGAGAAGAATCAAATTGCAACATTACCTTAGAACTAATAATTGTTGGAAGGCACAAACGGAAAAGATGCATGGGACCAGAATGCCAACGATGTTGTTGCTTTTTGTAAGCTTCATAAGATTCTGGAAGCTCACAAAGGACCTGAAAAATCAGTTTCTTAAACTTGAGAAATCATTTGACTATATTATTCACAACATGGAAAATGGCTTCTGATAAGGTACAAATAGATAACAAAGAATCCAAATAGTCAGAAACTGAACATAGGATCAGGTAAGATTACCTTGACATCATTGAGGAATATGAATTTCCAACCACAAAGATGGGCACGAACTGCTATATCCATGTCTTCTACTGTTGTACGCTCGAGCCAGCCTCCAGATTCTTCAAGTGCTTTGATTCTCCAAACTCCAGCAGTACCATTGAAACCAAAGAAATTGAGGAAAACCCCATTAACCTGCTGTTCAACCTCAAAGTGGAAGCACAAATTAATGTTCTGGAGGCGTGTCAACAAGTTCTCATCTGTGTTGACAAAAGACCACCTAGCCTGAACTAACCCGAGTTCAGGATTGTCCTACCACATAAGTTAGAATTACACACAAAAATCAGTCACCTAAAGCAGAAATAGCTAGAAACCATAGAGAAAGAGCTAAATGAGATCTAGCCACCTTAAAATGGGGAACTGTGAGCTTGAGGTAGTCAGGGTTTGGCTGGAAATCGGCATCAAAGATTGCAACA